GCTTAATCCATTATTTCCATTTGGTTGGTTTCTCCACAGTTGTGTTGGGTAACTCTCCTGTTTTTTTTCTGATAAAACCTTCTAAACACCTTGCAAGATACTATGAGGATGGGAGGGATTATCTCTGCCTACATCCCCTCCACAAAAGCAAGCAGCAGAGAGAAAAAAAGAGAGAAAACACAAAATTTGTCTAGTATAAAGACCTGGGCAGCTACTGAAGGTCACTGCCTTAAGCCACTGGTACTCTTGCTTCTCAGATTAAAATGTCAGGACTCATTTTAAAAATAACCACAATCAGGCTTCAAAGAGATCTTGGCAAACCCATGCTCATAATAGCCCTTTTCAGAAGAGCTGAAAGGTAAAAGCAACTCCAGTGTTCACCTGCAAATCAGTAGATAAATAAAATGCTATCTACACATACAATGGAATATTACTTAGCTTTAAAATGAAAGGAAATTCTGATACCTGCTACAGCCTGGTTGCACCTTAAGGATATTATGTTAATTAAATAAATCAGTCACAAAAAAACAAATACCGTATGACGCCACTTGTATGAGGCTTCTAGAGTGGTTAGACTCATGGGGACAGAAAGCAGAAAGGTGGCTGCCTGGGGCAGGAATGAGTGTTTAATGAAGACAGTTTCCATATGAAAAGATGAAAGGGGTTCTGTGGATGGATGACAATAGGGGCTGCGCAGCAGTGTGAATGTGCTTAATGCCACTAAACTGCACTTAAAAAGTGCTTAAAAAGTGGTTAAGATGATAAACTGTTGTGCTGTATCCATTTTACCACAATTAAAAATAATTTTTGAAAAATAAGCAAAATCAAAATCAGCTTTCCCAAAGTAGCCTGATTCCCTAACCTAAGCTAGTTTAGCCCAATATGTTGTGCCAATCTTCATTTTCCCCTGGGGAAAGGAGAGGAAATAAAAATAAATAAAAAAATATGCCTGCTTCCCCTCCTCTCCTTCTTTATTAAATATAATGTTCCTGGAATTCTCAGTTTTGGAGGTCTTTAGAATTTATCTCCCATGGGTTCCAAAGGCTAAGACTTTCAAACATCACAGCTAAGTAATACTTGGCATCCCAGAGAAAGGTTCAAAGTTTTAGTTCTAGGACCCAAAGTAAAACTTGTAAAACAGACTTCCAGTTCTGTTCACAATGTAATGAGAGTGTAACTGTGATGCATAAAAGGATGAGTTGCTTGGAGCTCAGTTTTCACCTGGTCTTTTAAACAAAAGGACAAAAAGCTAGAGACAATCTTGGCAAGGTTGTGTTGACCCAGGGTAAGAGAGTGACAAATATGTAGCAGAACCTCTGTTAGGTCACTTTCTTGGCTTTATATCTTAGAGCATGCTGATTTGTAGAGCCTAAATCATCCAGCATGAACCGTTTTGCATTTCTGGTGATGTTAGTAGTCATTCATTTATGCTTTCAGCAAGTATTTATTTACCTAACAAGTACAGTCTTCCTGGAACCACAACTCTGGCACATGGACTCAACTGAACAAATGCACTGGAACACGCAATAACCCTTCTCCTTCTTTCCCTAACCCTAGTCACTTCTTCATTGGATCCTCCTTTCTTTTTTTCAGAGATTGGTGGTAATTTGGAGAGTCAGCAAATAAAACTCTCGAGATCAAATCTTTATCAGTTACAAAGCTCAGCCTCAGCCCAGCTTCTGCTTTCTGTAATCAGTTCAAGCATTCTGCAACCAACTCAGTTCAAGGGAGACAAGCACCTCCAAATAAATGCCCGTGCAGGACCACGCTGGGTGCTTCATTCACAAAATTACTTTGTTGTTATTGCTGTAACTATTGTTATTATTGGAAACCTGCACAGGGCTTCATATGTGATTATAGTGGATATTAATATGACATATGTAACTGAAGTAGGTACTAATAGTATTCTCAATTAATAGGTGAGAAACTGAGTCACAAAGAAGCTAGGTAACCCCTCCCAAATCACCCAGCTAAGAAAGGGCAGAAGTAGTGTTTGAACCCAGGCAGTTTGGGTCCAGAACTTGTGCTCTGAACCATAGCTATGCAAAGTAGCTAGACTTCAAACTTTTCTAAACTGGACTGGAAGACAATAAAGAGTTTACACCAGATTATAAATCTATGCTGTGCTTCCTTCAAGAAAGTCTCACTATGAAAACACATCATCTGAGTTAAACAGTGTGCTTAGTTTCCAAGCTGATTTACATCCTGGATCTACTGGGGAACCAGAAGCAAACAGTTCTAGACCAAAAACTGGCAGACCATTCTTCGAGTAGGTGATCTGCTCGCCCACTATGCCATGCTGCCTTTCATCTACCTCTTAGGGTAGTGTGCTTCTAGTATAAGACCCAAGCATCCATACTTCTTCTGTAAGACTAGCACTGCTAACTAGAAGTGTTAGGAGAAGTCAGTACAGGTCAAACTAACAAAAGGTACCACAATTACAAAAAAAACTTGAGAGGGATAAAAGAATTTCCAAGTCCCAGCCCACCTAAAGTGAGCAGCATTTGATATCTGTAAGGTAGAGAAGCCTCTGTGGGAACAAATCCTTCCCAGACGGATGCACAAAAACACATCTTCCAGAGTGACAGCTGGAGCCCTTTGTAATTTAGTGTAGCTTTGAACTCACTATAGTAAGATGCAAAATAGCCAAATTATAGTTACTCTCTCAGAAAGAGATAAGACTTCAAGATTTGTCCTTTCTTTTATATGGATGACCTGAAGCTATAGCCAGAGAAGAGTGCTCAATTACAAAGCACACTTGAAATAGAATCCTGTTTCAGTCAGTTAGCAGGGAATTTGGACTGGGTAAGTACAATTTCATGTGCCAAATGGGGAAAAGTAAAGAACTCCGAACACATGCAAGAACGCTTTGATGCAACTAAGAATTGGGAACTGGAGTTCCCAGGGGCTTATAAAGTCAGAAACGACAAGTTTTCCTAGGGACACACCAGAAAAAAATCTGGTAAGTCATCTTGAAATCTTGCAAAAAACCAGGCATATTCTGAAGATTCAATATCCCACTGAACGTATGCTGAGAAACAGTACAATTTAGTGCTCAAATATAGGCTCTGATCAATTGCTGGCTCTGCTGTTTATACTTCTGTAATATAGTATTTACATCTTGTGCTTCTGATTTTTAAATCTTTATTAGCATATCTGTCTAATAAAGATCTGATGAGGATTAACTAAAATGCTAAGCAGAGTACCTGGCATGAAGCAAGGAGTCTTCTAGGGTTGACCTTTATTTGCGGTGCATAGATCATCCCCATTTTGGCCTTTGCACTTTGAATTTGGGTAAGTGTGCACCTTTCATAAGCCTCTGTTTCTTCATCTATAAAGTGGTGGTAAATGGCACCATCCATCCCCCGTCTCACACTGGGTTGTTGAAAGGATTAAATGAGACAACACACACAGAGTTCATTACAATGCAATACCTGGTATTAATGAGAGCTTGGCATGTGATAACTGCTCTATTACAGCCACCACCACCTCATCCACTACCATGTCCACAACCACCACCACACCACCACCTCCACCATGACTACCACAACTACCACCACCTCCACCACCACGTCCACCACTACCACCATCACCACCACCTCCACCATGACTACCACAACCACCTCCACAACCATATCCACCACCACCACCACCTCCATGACTACCACCACCTCCTCCACAGCCACCTCCACCACGACTACCACCACCACCACCTCCTCCACAGCCACATCCACAACCACTAACACCACCTCCATCATGACCATCCACCACCACTTCCACCACTATTCCCACCATGACCATCACTACCATCACCACCACCTCCTCCTCAACCACCTCTACCACCTCAACACCTTCACTATCACTTCCACCACCACCTCCTCTCCCACCTCCTCCTCTGTCACCACCATGACCATCACCACAACTACCTCCATCAGCACCACCTCCACCGTCACTAACACATGATTATACAATCACTATTTAGTTATTACTGCAAAGCCAAATATCTGCCCTTTGGACAGCCCTTATTCTCACAATAGCGGAAGCTAGTTTGCTTCCCCCTACTCTCTACAGGATCAACTTTCTCCACATATTTGAGATTCTTGTCTCACACCCATTGTGATGTTGATCCACACTGTCTCTGCTCCTCCACTAGTAATTGTTGCCCTTTAGACACGCACACGTGGGGATCACAGCCAGAGCCCCAGACAAGGCCGCATCCTCCCCAAGGCTATGCTCTAGGTCTATGCTTGTCTCTACTTTTCACTGTGAACACCTCTCTGGCATCGCATTTCCTAATGCAGCACAGTGCATTAGAAAAGGCATGGTCTTTAAAGTCAGGCCTGCATTCAAATCCTGACCTCCACTCTAGCTGTATGGCCTTCCCGGCTTTCAGCTCTTCATTACTGAAAACTTGGCTTATAATATTTACTTGAAAGGAGGTAGGAGCTGAGAGTAATAAATGACATCATGAATACAAAGAACCAGGACTCTATTTAGCATAAAGCAGGTGCCAAATATATGTCACCCTCTTTCCTATCTTTGTAGCACTTGTCAAATCAGTAAAGCCATGAACTCTCCAACTTAAAAAAAAAATCAGAAACAATGGGAGATCTTGTTAGAAATATGGATTTCTGAATCTTACGCCCAGAGTTTCTGGGTGCAGAGGTCTGGGGGGAAACCTGAGAATCTGCATTTCCAACAAGTGCCCCGATGATACTGGCTGTGCTGGTTCCAGAACCACACACTGACGAGCACTGCTGTGAAGGAACAGCAAAAAGAAAAACCTAATTGAAACTTGAAGACAAAACACTTGCACACATCTGTAAATTTTGTTTTTTAAAAAAATACATGAAACATTCAAGCCCCCAACCTGTTTTTCAAGAAGAAAAGGTCATAAAGTGTCTCAGGAAATGACATGAATGCCAGGTGAGTGTGCCACATCATGTTCATGCTGCAGTTGATGTGGCCATTGCTCCACCGAGGCCCTTCTCCATTTCCAGGCACACCGGTTGCATATGTTCTTCCTCTCCGACTGACCAGCACCCGGATCTCCTTGCCCACTGAAGAGCTGGCAGTGCCTGGGAAGCCAAAGAGCTGGCAGCACCTGGGAACTTCTGCATTCCTGGGGCAAGCCCTTGAGCCGTCACTCAGGGATGCAGCTAAACAAATACTCCAGCTCCTTGCCCAGCTAGGACTGCCTCCCAGGGGTGAGCTGCCCTGTCCCCACAGAGACTGGGCCAGCAAGGCCCTCTGCTGGGACTTTGCTTGGTGTCACTCTATTGCTTTGGCCTCCTTCCCTCCCAGGTCCCATCTCCTTGGTTTCCTATAAATTTTCCTTGAGAACTCTGTCAAATAATTCAAGTTCACACCAATATTCACCCTCATCTCTGCTTTTGGGGGAGGCCAAACTGAGCTATAGACCATGATTAAATAAGAGTAATACATGAATCAGAAGCCCCATAGTGAAGTAAGGGAATGAGAGCAGAATATGAGGCATCCCTACATATAGGTACTGAGAGCAGGAAGCAGAGGTACACACAGAGGGGAAGAAAGGCCCGCAGAGGAAAGGCAGATGCCCCCTGTGGCTGAGGATAGCCAAGCCTCCACACCCCAATCAGACCTTCCAACCCACCTGGACTATGGACCTGACAGCCCATTATTAAGTTCTATGAAATACTGATGACCACTTCTTAATAGTTCTTCAAATAATTCTAATTTCTAAGCATCTAGACTCTTATTTTAGCAGCCTGCCAGGGAAGTTATTTTCTGCACAATAATTTCCCTGAGTAGGACAACTTTGTTCACTTGCCCTGATGATGTACCATAGGGACTGTGTCTGGCCCATTCTGGGAGGTCCAGGTGGTTGTCAAGATAGCCAGTCTTCAAGATTGTCTTCAAGATGTTGTTTTTCATTCAGACCCAGGCAAGCCACAGTGGACGTGACAATCCTTGTCTTGCCATGTATCGCACCCACTTCCCGTGGGTCCAGTCGACGCCATCACAGGAGACCCGGTTCGGTTTCAATCAGCTTTAATTTCTTCTCGCAGGCGGTGTTAACAGAAAGATTGCAGCTTGCACGCAGGCAAGTATGAGTTACAGCTCTTCCAGTTTCTCTCTAATTTCATTCCTCTCGTCTCTGCAGGATGGCTCACTAGCTTCTGGTTCTGCTTGCTTCTCTCCCACCTGGCTTCTCCTTTTTCCCTACTACTAACTACCGCTATATATATGTTTCCTAGACCAATCAAAGGGGAGAGCATGCGTGACCTTTAACTCTATTGGCGACAGGGCGGAAATCATGCAGTGTGCACGAGCACGGAACTACTTATAAGGTCTGGGAGGGGGATTCTACTCGGCAGAGCGGATGCGTGGGATGTGCCATTACCGGATGTGAGCGCCATCTTAGAAGGGCTGGGTTCCTACCTCGGCCGCGGCTCGGACTTCTACAGCCATGGACACAAATATCCCAAAAGAGACCCAGAGGACTCTTCTCAACTGCCTCCAATACTCAAATCAACTCCAGGGTAACCCTGCTTACCCCTAAGGAAACTCATGTACCTCAATCCAGGGGCTTGTAGATTGTGGATTCCCAAGGCTGAGTGACATTTGAGGAGTAGCCCCAGAAACAGCAAGCACGGAGGGTCTGTGTGTTTGCTCTGAGCCCTCCTGGTAAGAACTGTGAGTCAAGGGCGTCTGGAGGCTCAGTGCCTAAGTGATCCATGAATTCTTCCATCTGCTCTGGTAGATCATTCAGAGGAAAGAGAATGGAATTTGGAATTGGTCACCCCTGCATTTTAGGTCCCACCCCAGCCAGACTGCCCATCCAATGTGCGGTGTCCATCCCTGTGTGCACTCACAACGCACTCATTTTCTATCCATAATTGCTTCTGTTTTTCTTCCCCACTAGATGATAAATATTTGTCTTGTTCACTACTATTTAACCTCAGAGCCTAGCACCCTGCCTAGTGCAAACTGGTATCACCGGATGGTGCATTGAGTAGATGTACAGTTCCAGCGCTGACAAGCTATGTGATGTCAGGCAGGTTTTCTTGTCCATCATATAGAATAAAAGTACCTACCTTGAAGGTCTTCGGTGAGAGTCAAAATTTAATAAGAGATATTAAAGTGTCTGGTATAAAAGATATATACAAAGTTCCTGGGGCACTTGGTAGGCATTCCTTAAGTTTGGGTCTCTCATTCTGCCAACTTTTCCACTGTCATGTTTAAGTAGAATGCTGCCCTCATATACCTGGGAAACCCCGTCTGACAGCCCTGGAATCCCATTCAAATAAAGTGGAATGGAAGAAACTGAGCACCACCGCAGTCTTGCAATAACAACCAACCGACTGATGGGTGTGGGAAGCCCACCCACACACCTGCTCCCAGAAGGGCCATTTTATCCATGCTCCCAGCAGTGCAAACACCCCCTCTTGCTTTTCCCAGACACCATGCACTGCTTTCAAGGACAGCGAAATCAAAGGCAAGGTGAAAACCACTGTCATTAAATAGCAGGAGAACAACTATTTGGACTGAGATTCCTACAGGGGAAAACAATATTAGAATATTCCCTGAGATATTTCCATGCCATTAATAAAAGAAAGGAACTCCATCACCGTATGTATTGCCAAAGCGAACTGCCTTTTAATGTGTTGTTTTGTTCATCTCTGATTTTCAATGATTCCCATATTCTTAATGAAATCCAACTGCCATAAATTACAGGATTCTAAGAGGACAGATCTCTGAATATTCCTAATATTATTAATAAATGCTAACACAAAATTAATGGGGAAATTTAACAATTCTTTTATTGGAATTTCCTTTCTATTTAGTTTCCCTGGAGGAGAGAATGTTAGCATGTGCTTTCTGTAGACAATATTGCTTTAATGGAAACTTTGCAAAAATTAGAATTAGGCCTTTGGTGAACAGGGATCTTTAATTTAATTTGTTTTTACTGCCAGAACACAGGGAGTTACTCACAGCATATTGCACCAGCAGGCAGCCTGGCAGAATTCCGTTTTGCTGTGATCACAAGGGTAATGACTTCTCCAAGGCCTGGTGTGGGGAGAACAGCACGGTTTAGTTATTATGGGAACCATAAATGTCATTAATAAAGTCCTGGAGGAGCAATCACATTGCAGAGCAGCCTTATAAACATGGGAGGCCAGTCACTCTTCACATACTTGAGAGGGGAGGAGGGTGCTGCAATGTACTGGGCAGTGGGGGCAAGAAGTGAGAGGGAGAAACGGGAACCCTTGCTCTTATTTGGATTTTTTTCCTTAAAGTCCTTCTCCAGTTTAAAACACAAAATAAAAACCCTTTGTGGCTAACTCTCAGTTTGCTTTGCTGACACCGATCCTGCTGTCCCAGCCTCTGCAGTCAAAGCCAGTCTATTTAGAGATAGCCCAAGAGGGTAAGGTCTCAAGGGGAAGCTGCTTCTCCCAGGTATGCACCCAGAGGCACTGCAAGCAGGGCCTCAAATGGGTGTACGTGTATGCCGATATTCACAGCAGCATTTACAACAGAAAAAAGTAGGGGCAACTCAAGTAGCTGCCAAAGGATGACCAGGTGAACAAAATGTGTGCTATCCATATGATGGAATATTATTCAGCCATAAAAAGGAAAGACGTCTTGACACACACTTCAGTGTGGATAAACCTTCAAGATATTCCACTGAGTGAAATAACCAGTCACAGAGGACTTCTATAAGGCACCTAGCATAGGCCAATTCATGGAAACAGAAAGCAGAATGGAGGCTTCCAGGCACAGAGGGTGGGGCGGGCAGTTATTCCTTAATAGTTACAGAGATTCCATGTACGGTGATGAAAAGGTTTTAGAAATAGATAGTGGTGATGGTTGCACAACATTGTGGATATAATTAATACCACTGAATTACACTCTTGAAATGGTTAAAAGATCAAATTTTATGTATGTGTTATGCTATGTGCTACGTATTGTGTCACTTGTGTCACAGTGAAAAAACTTCCAAAAAATTAAGGAGCGCTGGACTTTCAGGATCCCTCTTCCCTTTTCCCCCTCTCCCTTCTCCCCCTAACTTGTCTTGCCCACCCCTTGAATGTACCTCTGCAGTTCCCAGACCGTCACTAAATAAGGCGAGGTGCCCCATAACTGCCCCTTGGGGGCTCTGTGTGCGAACAAGACAGTGGTGGCACAGATTGATCATCACTCTTGTTTTATCTTGTTGGTTTTACTTTATTTTCAACGTGTCTAAAACTATTTTTGCTGAAAGAGAACCTGGGTCCTTCAGAACATATGAGTTGGCCCACCCTGAGCTGTATCAACTACATGTGGTGTTAGGAGTAGACTTTTTAAATAGTCACTTGTTAAGAGAATGATTTTATTTATAAATCAACTCATCAGAAAGGGCAGCAGAAGGCCAAAAGACAGTCCACTCATTTTGCCCCAACCCAAAGGCAGGGCAGTTTCTGAAAGCCAGTCATTGCCACAAAGGCCCTGTGGGTGGCACTGGGCCACACCTATCACTTACAGACAAGTTTCTGTATCTTAAACCTGAGGAGTTTGTGTAAAATATTTGCAAGCGAAATGAGGGTTTTCCTTTATGTTGGTAAAAGGTAGCATCAGATAAAACTCCCCTGAGAAAGAGAATAAAGACCCAGATACCTGAAGGATTTTGATTTGAAGATTTAGAGCTGTGGAAAAGCTTCTTGCAACGAAGATTACAATAAAATTTTTCAATTGCACTAAATTGTGTGTACCTAGATGCTTTATGAATAGTTTACTGCCAATTTTCTAATCTTACAAGGAAATAATCTTGAAATACAGGTTTAATTTGATGATTTTTACCCACCAAAAATTCAAAGTGGAGAAATTTGGAATGGAAAACATTCACTTAGATATTTTGGCTGGATTAGATTTTGGCTGGATGGAAAGGCCCTGGAGATTTTTTTCTTTAGTCTCCAAATTCAGCATGGGCCTTCTCTTCCACTATGGAAAAGCATCACTGTGATATACAATATGTAATTGAACAGTGCTAAGCTTAGCTGTTTTTATAAAAGGCTCTATTTCCAAGTGTAGACTTCCAGTGTAAAAGCACAATGCTTATTATTTAACTGCTGACAAATGGCATGGCTCTATCTTATGCCAGGTGATAGTTTGTGCCTAAATTTTAAGGAAATTAGCCTAGAGTTTCTTAGGCAATGAGCTTATGAGAATGTACCCATAAAATAACAACAAACATATATATCACATTTATACAGGACTAACTTAAGCCCTTTAGAAAGCCTAACCTCTTAAAAAGATTATGCTACCCCTATCCCTTTGTGATTCAAAATACAATAAAAACAACAGTAAACTGCACTTACTGCTATTATTATTGGGGCAGACTGTTTGCATCGCCTGGGCTTTCCCAGGATTAAATGGCACCCTTTGGCAGCCCAAGTCCACACTTGGGCCACCCAGATGTTAAAACACAGGGCGGAATCTGAAGACTGTGTGGTAGTTCCTACCGCTAAGCCTGCACTGAATGAAAACACTAAAGCAGAAGCGATTGATCCTGTATTTTCAATCATCTTCCATGCCTAATTGGATCGACCATTTTAATGGAACTGTCTCATCAATTCAAGCAGCCAGTCGGTTAAATCTAACTGACCCATCACCCACCTCCAACCCCCACTGAACAGACCAAATATCTAAACGCATGGAATTCACAGGTTGTTTTCACATCATGTACACATGGCCTTAATGATGAAATTGGACCCATGCCACTGCTGAGCTCATCAGTTGTAAAGGGATCACTCCCTGATATGTGGTCTCCCCCACCTTCCTTCAAAAAAAAAAATTAAAAACTTAGCTAGAACCAACTGCTCCAGTGGTCAACTAGTGCCTTGGCCTGAGGCTCTGAGGACAATAGATCCAGCTTCTAAAATGTTAGTATAAATTCTGCCAAGATGTTTTTAGATGCTATATACCTACCTCCTTAGTAAATTACAGCTCCTTACATGTACTTACATGCATGTCTGAGCTTGGCAGTGTGGCTGTACATTCCAGAGAACTCGCAACACTCTCAAGCAGAAACACTCTGTCCTGTTTTTCCCATAAGCAGACTTGTCTGGGTCCTGGTTTTTTATTCTAAAACTATGGTCATCTCCATGCAGAATGGATCCAAGTCTTCAGGACCTTTAATGGTCTCCTCCTGGCCACATACAGGGTCCCAAGGGCCCCTTAAGTGTGGTTATGGGGCTCTCTTGTAAATTGCTGGAGTGTGTAAATTGATGCATCTGCTACAATAGAGAATTTAGCAAAAT